TTAGTGGAGCGGCGTAGTTTAGATGTGGGGCAATGCTAAGTAGTTTTACTAAAACTTAATTTTCCTTTTTTTTTTTGTTTTTCCTTTTCCCTCTTCTTCTTCCTCAACCTAGTCATGGCAGAAATGAGCAGTGGCAACGGTAGTGCTGCCGGCCATTGCCGCCACCAACCACCACCAGTCATAGAGCCTTTCGGTGATGGATTTACCCCAAAGTTTCACCTTTCACTAAGTCTTTCGCATAGATTCCATTTTCGCCCTCAGTTTTTAGAGAAATTGAGTGAAAAAGTAGCAAAAATGACTATTTACAGTCCGATCTCTATTTCATAAACTCATTCAAAACTAGCACATACTTCACCAAGCGTATAACATAAATATGCTCCTCATGAGACGTATAACATAAATAAGCCCACAGAATCAGCCATACAACGTCAAAAATAACAATTTGAAATTTTACGAAACCCATCTCATGAACTAGAACTTAAAGATAAAATGAAGGGACCTTGGCAACGGCTTTAGCTTTGCTATGATAATGGCAGTGCCGCTCTCAAACTCTAGAAACTTTGGAGGAACCCAACGTCTTCATCCTAACTTTTATTTATTTCAAGTGTTTACATCTCTGTTTTCAAACTCGGACCGGACCGGCCAGTCGAACCGGTCGAACCGGGAACCGGCCAGGTAGCCGGTCCGAGTCACATTAAAAAATCGGAAATTTAAGATCCGGTCAAAGCCGGTCAAAAATCGGGTTTGACCGGGAAAAACCGGTTTTTTCGGTTCAACAGTAATTTTTTTAAAAAAAAATTCAAACTTTTTAATATTATGTTTTGGCCCCCTAAATTGTTAAAACTTATTGATATACCTCAAATATTTGATACTTTATAAATATTGTCCTAAAATTTGATGTTATTTTTCAATTAAATTCATAATTTTAAGTCTAAACTTGTTAATATTTATTAAATAATATAAATTGCTACTTGATTGTTCTAATTTCTTTGTATTTTCTTGTTAAATATATTTGAAACATCAAATATATATGAATATACCTTTATTAATATCAATATATTATTAGATATTATATATATAATATTTTAATTTTTAAATAATTTTTATTTATGACGTCATCCGGTTCGACCCCTATCGACCCCCGGTCGAACCCATTGACCCCTGACCCCTGACCTCGGCCGAGTCGCTATTCGGTCCGGTTCTGAAAACATAGGTTTACATGTGTTTGTGCGCTCTTCTTCATCCTGACTTTTTTTTTCGGGGATAATTTCAGAAACATCCCTTGAGGTTTCCAACAATTTCATTGACCTCCCCTAAGGTTTTGAAAATGACATAAACCTCACCTGAACTTATAGTTGTAGTAACATGATCAACACATGTCAGAAAAATGAGCATTAAAAAAATATTTTGAGGAGTGAGATGATATTTGTGTTCCACATATGCCCTTTTTGCTTATCCACAACTTGTATTAGTAAATAATGAAAACTATTAAAAGACATACATAATTAGTAAATTCTAGTAGGTGTAATAGCAATTAGGAAAAGTGCAGTAACAACAACTTGAAGCTTCGGTTTGCACAAATGGCTAGTGCAATGGCCATATTTTAAGTTTCTTTCAAAAGCATATAAACGGCTCAAGCAACTCAAGAAATAATTTATTTTTAGTGTGATTATCTAATTTTGAGGTAATAAAAAGTGGCAAGGCTGGACCAACCAAAGACAATAGTTAACATGATACTCATCATAAATATCACACTAGGTGTTGTATCTATATTCATCCAAAATATAAAATCAATTGGATAAACTCTCGTAACAAATATAAAAGTGCCACGACATTGTACCAACTATTTTAAGTCTTTTCTGATTGTGTAAGAAGTCAACCAGTAGTACTTGTCAGTTGGATTGTATTTGGAAGAATTGTATGACTATTGTTTGATGACTACTACTGTGACTTTACTAAGAGATAATAAGCAACAACTTATTAGTTGAACTAGTTAGTAAGGCAACATAAGTCACTTGACATTAGTTAAAAATTGCTATAATTGTAGCAGTTGTAGTATTACATAACTATCGATGCAATCCAAGATAGTTTCAAACACCATCTGCCTCAGATGAATGAGGCAGATGGTGAGGATTGCAAAGCCAAATTTCATGACCATTGATTGTTTGTCACTAATGCCAACCATATACAAAAGCACGAGTGGGTAGCATGTCAATAATCTTAATGCAAATCAGCATATTTTAACCCGAGGGGAGCCATGTTTTTTTCCTTCTTTTCCTTCCATTTTTCCATCTTCTCTAAGTTCTCGTATAATACTATCCTTGTATTGCTCTTTGAAGTCATGTCCAATCACAAAAAATGGCTCCATATTGGTGCATCAATTAGTGTCATTTCTTAAGTGTAGTTACATTGGCTTATTAGAGATAGAACTACAGTTAATATCATTTAATTAGTTCATTTATTTAATGACCTAATTATATTTTTCCAGAAATTGGTTTCTCATCACCCTTTTATGCATAAGGGCAAAGTAGTAAATTCATTCCAGGTTACATCAGCAATGGGCCCCAAAATCAGTTGAGGGGAGGTCAGTGTTATTTTCGAAACCTCAAGGGAGGTCAATGAAATTATCAGAAGCCTCAAGGGAGGTTTCTGAAATTATCCCTTTTTTTTTAATTTCAAGTGTTTACATGTGTGTGTGTGTGCGCGTCTTCATCCTGACTTTTTTTTTTTTAAAAGAAATTGCCCGTCGTGCCTTTTTAAAAGCAAGCAGCCAAGCCACTGTATTTGATCGACTTTTTTGTCATCTAACAATATTCTGATCAATTGGCCTTGAGAATGTTAGGAATAATAAAAAAAAACAAGGGAGGTTTCTGATAATTTCACCGAGCTCTCTTGAGATTTAAAAAATTACACTTATTTTTCTTAATTTGATAGTTTTAATAATAAAATTTTAAAATAATATTGATTTGATCAAATTTTTAAATGAATATCCAAAAATGCCCTTGTGTAATGAGTTTTAATTTATTTTTCTATACAATTATAAGATTATCTAGTATAATTATAAGAAAAATGTGCCAAATTTTTCATGTTCATATATACTATTTAATAATCAACTATAATAATAATTTTATCACTATGATAGGATATTTTGATGGTATTTTATTATGAAGTTAAATTTATAAGATAGAAAAGAAAATATTGAAATAATTCATTTAGAGTTTACTAATTTTTTGAGTAATGGGCTAATCATAATTTAGCAGTGATTTTAAACCATTTCTTTTTAATTTATTGTCAATTTTAATACCAAAAAATATAAAACAGAGATCATCAAAAATATTGGATTACAAATAAAATTAACTCGTAAAAAAAATCACTAATTCAACATTTGGTTACAATAGAAATTAAAGGCAATAGTGTTAGTTCTATAGTTTTATTGATGAAAATTTAAAAAAAAGGAAAAAAATGAAAAAATAATTTTAAAAATTATTCTAAGTATAAGGGAATTTCATTAAAATATTTAAGGGTAAAATTGTCATTTTAAATGATAAGAGAGATATGTGTAATTTTTTAAATTTTGAGGGAGCTCAGTGAAATAGTTAGAAACCTAAGGGGAGGTTTCTGAAATTATCCCTAAAAGAAAATGTACTATTTTACACCACAACCAAACACAAGGAGGTTATGGGAGTCAATGGTGCACTGTTAACTCTTTCCACACCCTTTCTGAGGTTAATGAATGCTAGCTAAATATTTACTTTTCAAGACACAATTCATTTTTATTTTCAAATATGCCCTTTTAATGCTTTAAGAATTTTCAAGTACGTTAACTTCTACAGTATACAAAGGCTCAAACAGAAGTTGAGGTTGAGGAGCAACTGATCTAGTATAGAGATTTTTTTTTGTTTATACCTATCGATCATACAATAGAAATTATGATTCATTCCAATTAAACTTCCTTGCTGGATGTTTTGTTTTTACAACTTTTTTCTTATCATGGAAAGTGTAGGTAGAAGATACCGTGCCACGAGTGGAATCATTTTGAAAATTCATATAAAAGACTTCTTTTTTTGCATACCAAAGCTAGGGAAAGGAGTCAGTTCGGGTGGAGTTCGTGTGGTTTGTTCATGTTCTATAGTTTTATATTTATAAATACGTTATATTATTGTAATTATAGTAAAAGTGACGTATATAAATAAAATATTTAATATATATTCTGTACAATAATATTATAATGTATATTTATACATAAAAAATTTAAACATGTATAATAACTGGACAGAACTATATAAAACACAACTAGACTGAATTCTTATTCCTAAAGCGATATGTATTTTGCCCATTATAGCATGTTTATTAAAAGTATTTAGAAGTTATGTACGGGATCACAGGCTGTGCGGGGCATCACGCACCAATTTTTTTCAAATTAATAACTATCATTAACCATTACATTTTCTCTTACCAATTTGTTTACTTAATTTGCACAAACACGTGTATCTATATATATATATATATATATTTTGCTTTTCTCACTAGTTTCGCACATGCACGTGCAGTGTGTGTAGCTTTTCTCACTAGTCTGCATGTTTATAGCTCTACCCTAGATAATTTGACACGTACGTATTGTTTACCCAAAAAAAAAAAGAAAAAATTTGGCTACGGGTCTTCTGTCATATATGTTAATGTCCAACACCCTCACGTATTAAAATTTATCTATCTTAAGAATTCAACTTAATTAGAAGTATAATCATAATAATTCAAAAAAGATAGGCGTCGACATATTATGGACGTTACACGTTACACTTTATCGTGTAATGGAAGACCTGAAAATTTTCCTCACCATGAAGGGGGAAATTGGGAAACCACAAAACTGAGTCGGAAAAAGTATCCGTGCAATTGGCATATGAGTCGCTCCGTTCAATTAACGGTCCAAATCGAGTCGAAATGACGTAATCCGACCCGTCAATAGCCAATCTTAGGTGCCCCGGATCCAAAGTGAATCGACCGACTTGCAATTGCGTGTCGGTTACGGTTTGGGTTTTCACAGACGTCAATGCTGACCAGCTCCAGACTCCTCAAAACTAGTATTATATAATACCCTCTCATCTTCTTATCCTCTCGCTCATTTATCGATCCTTCTTCAAATTCTCTCTCAAATTCTTCAATCAAAAGCCTTCTCTGCTATTCTGTTTCTCCTCTCACAAGGTAATCAATCCCTTCTTTCTCCGACAATTTATCCTTTTCTGTTTGTTTTCAGAATACATAAAGATTCGTTGTTTGTTTGCTGCTTTAATTGATTCTGATATGGTTCTGGTTTCTTTATCTCCCGATCATAGACGGATCTGATAGTGATTATATTGGTTGCGTTTTTATTATTTTTAATTAGTCGGATTTTGATGCTAGGTTTGCAATAATACCCTAATTTTGGAAATTGGTTGCCCCTTTTCCTGCTATTCGTGTCTTGTGTATGATCTATCAATTTAGGTTTTTTGTTCGTTGATGCCTTAATCGATACTGTAGCTTCTTAGCCATTTGATAACCGATGAACCTATGTGGATTAATTTGGTTGAATGAGAAGATTTTTGCCTTTTTTAATGCTTTTAATTATGGTGGTCCGATTTTGATCTAATTATGATGGTCCGATTTTGATCTAGGTTTTTTTGTATAATTTTTGGGTTGAACCCCTACATTAAGAAATTTGGTGCTCCTATTATTCTGTTATTCAGGTCCTTCCTTGGCAGTGAGTTTTCTCTTGCTAGGGTGTATTTTCTGCTAGCAATTTCAATTTTGGGTTGAGGAATTTATATTAATTGGATCTGATTTGGTGTTTTGGATTTTTCTTTCTCAACAGATGCAGATCTTCGTGAAAACCCTTACTGGAAAGACCGTAACCCTTGAAGTTGAAAGCTCTGATACTATTGACAATGTCAAGGCCAAGATCCAAGACAAGGAGGGCATCCCTCCGGACCAGCAAAGGCTGATCTTTGCTGGAAAACAACTCGAGGATGGTCGTACCCTGGCTGACTACAACATTCAGAAGGAATCCACCCTTCATTTGGTTCTGCGTTTGAGGGGAGGGATGCAAATTTTTGTTAAGACTCTCACTGGGAAGACAATTACCCTTGAGGTTGAAAGCTCCGACACCATTGACAATGTGAAGGCCAAGATCCAAGACAAGGAGGGCATCCCTCCGGACCAGCAAAGGCTGATCTTTGCCGGAAAACAACTCGAGGATGGTCGTACCTTGGCTGACTACAACATTCAGAAGGAATCCACCCTTCATTTGGTTCTGCGTTTGAGGGGAGGGATGCAAATTTTTGTTAAGACTCTCACTGGGAAGACAATTACCCTTGAGGTCGAAAGCTCTGACACCATTGACAATGTCAAGGCCAAGATCCAAGACAAGGAGGGCATCCCTCCGGACCAGCAAAGGCTGATCTTTGCTGGAAAACAACTCGAGGATGGTCGTACCTTGGCTGACTACAACATTCAGAAGGAATCCACCCTTCATCTGGTGCTCAGGCTTCGTGGGGGAATGCAAATTTTTGTTAAGACTCTTACTGGAAAGACCATAACCCTTGAAGTTGAAAGCTCTGATACTATTGACAATATCAAGGCCAAGATCCAAGACAAGGAGGGCATCCCTCCGGACCAGCAAAGGCTGATCTTTGCCGGAAAACAACTCGAGGATGGTCGTACCTTGGCTGACTACAACATTCAAAAGGAATCCACCCTTCATCTGGTGCTCAGGCTTCGTGGGGGAATGCAAATTTTCGTTAAGACTCTTACTGGAAAGACCATCACCCTGGAGGTGGAGAGTTCTGATACAATTGACAATGTGAAGGCCAAAATTCAAGACAAGGAAGGAATCCCACCGGATCAGCAGAGGTTGATTTTTGCTGGTAAGCAGCTTGAGGATGGCCGGACTCTTGCGGATTATAACATCCAGAAGGAATCCACCCTTCACTTGGTGCTGAGGTTGAGAGGAGGAATGCAGATATTTGTAAAGACATTGACAGGAAAGACCATCACTTTGGAGGTGGAGAGCTCAGACACCATTGACAATGTGAAAGCTAAAATACAGGATAAGGAGGGAATACCACCGGATCAGCAGAGGTTGATTTTTGCTGGTAAGCAGCTTGAAGATGGCCGTACTCTTGCGGATTACAACATTCAGAAGGAGTCAACTCTTCACCTGGTGCTTAGGTTGAGAGGTGGAATGCAGATATTTGTAAAGACTTTGACTGGAAAGACCATCACTTTGGAGGTGGAGAGCTCAGATACCATTGACAATGTGAAAGCTAAAATACAGGATAAGGAAGGTATCCCACCTGACCAGCAGAGGTTGATCTTTGCTGGTAAGCAATTGGAGGATGGAAGGACTTTGGCTGATTATAACATCCAGAAAGAGTCCACACTCCACCTTGTCCTGCGTCTTCGTGGTGGCTTCTGAATGTTGAAGGCTGTCTTGCTATTGGAAGTTACATAATCCTGTTAATAATTTGCTTTGCTTGTGTCTCTTTGCTGCCCAAGTCATGGTGACTGGCTTTTTAAAGCCTTTGTAATTTTCGTTTTGTGGGATTGGATGGTGGTGTTATATTGTTTGTTGTGATGGGATTTTATGGTGGTGTTATCTGTTGCGAAATAAAATCGAGGACTTCTAAAAGCTTTTGTTAAAGTTTGCGTTATTATGTTTACTTGATTTCTTCTTGTTTTCAGTTTGTATATTTGCTGGGCTTGAGAGCATGCGTAGCTCGTTCAGTGGTAAATTGGGCCGTTTCTTGGTTCTTATGGGTGCTAAAAGCATTATGTTTCAACAGATGTGTCTGAAACTACAATGTCAATATGGCTTTCTTTGTGGTCAATGTCGGGACGAAGCACATTGAGGTTTTTTTGTCCTAAAATTTTCCAATCATATACTTTTCCCGTTTTAGCTCATCGTTAACGCACTTAGTATTTATCTAAAATATTACACACACACATATATTAACAAATTATTATCTCCTTATTTAATCTTGCCTACTCTTTTTTATGTTTATTTAGTATCTTTAATTAATTTTATATTTTTAAACACATAACATGTAAATATATTTTAATGAGTGTTTTATGAATATCTATTAGATAGATCGATATACACAGGCACACATACCTAGTAAATAGTAATCTAAAAATTTTATTTTGTCATCATTTGTAATTTTTTTTTTTGAAGTAGAGCGCAACCCCATTGCTTGTATAAAGAGGGGCAAACACGGAAGGGACGGACAGTGGCAGCAACCCCCAAAAAGTTTTTAAAATTTTAAGATTCTCCCTATAATTTTAGTTGTCAACTAAAAACTCTGACCCCCCTTAAATATAATTATCAATAGTTGTTTTTGTTATTTTGATTAATTTCTTTAGATAAAGTATCTTATATCAAACTAGCAATCAGTTTTTTTTTTATAAATAAAAATATACCATTAGTATCTACACTACCTTACGATTAGTACTATTTTTGAACAACAGTTACTAAAACAGCAACTAATATAACATTGTATTTGTTATATAGAAAATCAAAGATTATATAGGGTAATTGGTACTATTTTTCAAACAAATTTCTTATAACAGACTAACTCTTAGATTTTTGAAATGCTATAACTTTAAAATAGCAACTAATATAACACTGGGTTTGTTTGGACAACTTTGATTTCAAATAAAAAAATTTACTTCACAAATTTTAATCACCTTTTTATCTTCCCAATTACCTTTTTATCTCACATACATCACATCATAAAAAGTGCTACAGTAATTATCTCAAATAAATCATCCAAATAAACTCTTATCCAAACAAACTCACTGTATTTGTTGTATAGAAAATCAAAGCTAAAAAAAAAATAAAATTTAACTGCTGTATAAATTAGAGAATCTTCAACCACGATTTTAAACGCTTCTTAGTGATAGTGAATAGAAACAATATGTAATCTAATTTTCACATTTTTTTTTCTTTATACTTTATCTTTAGTTTTTAAAAATTTCTTATTCCTAATTATAGTCTATTGAACTTTTGTGTTTACATTTAGTGTGCTTTATTTGATATAGAATTTTTTTTGATATTATATTATTGATGATTCATCTCCCAAACTAAAACCTTGAATTCGTCACTGTGTATAAAAGCACAATTTGCATGTACAGAAGATCCACCACAAGTTTAAGTTTTCAAATAAACAATAGAACGTTAAGCTGCGGAACGAATTTGTCCTTAGGTACAATATATAAGAATTATAATTTTTCCTTTTTTATATAATAAGAATAATTTCATCCCAATATCTTAGACTAATAGTAGTAAGTACATCAAACATGACATAAATACAATGCTTGTCTTCTCCAATAGTCAAATCTAAAAAAAAAATGACAAAAAAAAAAAAAACTCTCATAAGAATATCCTAGGAAAGAATAAAACTTCCACTATAAAAATGTACAAAAGACGAATTAAATTTGCCAACCAGTTTCCCCGTGGTGCTATATCTTCAGTCACTTTTACCCTGCAAATGCCCTGATAAGGCAGATTAAATTTGTTTCACTAATTTTTTTCAGAAGACTGGCAATCAATTCTTTCTGGATCGTTATAGATGCCTAAAGCATTATCCTGATTCAACTGATTTCATTGTGAACTCACTGTGTCTGCATATTTGACTGGTGCGAGGTAGGACTATAATCCTTATCAGTGTAGTTACTATTCTAGTCTGATATCCCAAATTTTATACTGCTACCCCAAACTCTTCTCAATAGAGCTATATCCAGTCGTCCTCTCCTGGAGTTTTCTTGAAAAAGTTTGTACAAGTTCTGAATAAACATGGCAGACTTTGAGGCTGACCCCTGTCTAACTCCATCTTCCTCTCTCCACACAAGGCATGGTAACTTGCCAGATACCAATCATGGATCAAGTCTCTCAGTAAAAGAAAAAACCACCAGGATCAGGAGACAAGAATTAAGAATTACCAATGGGGAAAACAGACTTGGGACAATGATACCTTGATGGAGAAATGTCTTGCGCAGATCTTTCTAGGTTCCATACTTGCATCAGCAACCTTTAAATGAACAATGTTATACTGCATATATAGATGAAGATCTTGCTGTATGAGGGTGTTCGGATATAAGTTGAGCTAAAAATGGGACAACTGAAGCTTTTCTCTTGAACTTTTCTCTTGAACTTTTCTCTGTATTCAATAACTGGGCTTTCTTTAGTTTTTCTCTACATAGGATCATACATGAATAGATTTCCCTCGTACAACCTTCTGTACCTACGACCATACATAGCATTTGGGTGGTGCAAATTATTATTATTATTGTTATTTTTTGGGGTGATGCATATTATATTGCCAAAAAAATGTATAAATGGTGCCAGTCCTGTATCATTGCAGACTATAGTGCATTTGAACTTTTCAAGAATTCGTTTTCACCTCCATGTTTCGATATATACATATATATATATATATATATATATATATATATATATATATATATATTTTAAAAAATTCAGCATCTTATACTATTTCTTATTTGTTTTTTCAAAGATTGGCTTGTTGGCTTCGGGGAGATCACTACAAAAGGATCTTGACCAAATTGCTGAAACTGCCGATACATCCAGAGTAGAGGGCTTAATCTACATATTGACTGGTAAAAATTTCTAATGTCTTAGCGTATCAATCCCTTTTTGATTGCTCAAATGTGGACCATAAAATGCGCATAATCATATTTTTAAGTAATTCTTCATGTTTAGGATGACTGTGCATCTAACTCTTTTTTTTTTTTTGAGAAACATTTAGTCTCTGCATTTATTCAGTGTTTGGTTGCCAAGAAAGGCATGGGAGTTTAGTTAATTTGTCATTTGTGTAGTCTGGTTAGTAGGAAAGCTCTACAGTTTCTCATACTTCACTATATTTTGCATCTTGCAAATGAAAAGATTGATTAACTATTCTTTAAACTTTTTCTTTTGGTTGTAAAATTGGTTCATACGGTTTACATCACTTCTCGTTTACCTGAGTTTTGTTGCATTTAACTTTCCCTGCATTGACAGAATCTGAACACAGATTGATGAAATGATGGAACATCCTTCCGCGTAGGATTTGTCTTTCATCAGAAGCATAAGCGGCTTATTTCACATCCTCTGAAGGAACAACCTCATTTAATTTAATTAAAAGTCAGAGATAAAGTAAAGAGTCATTTTTACTGCTGAATCTGTGCACAAGTGCTTAGTCTGCATGTTTTGCACATTTCTCTCAAACAGTATTGTTTTAAGTCAAATGAATATACGTGATACTCTCCATTTTGGTTGCAGAGACTATAGGAGCTTTGCTTCGTCATCCTAACTATTGCATCTCTGCCTATTCATCTGTAAGTGACATACATCTATGTTTCTGCTTGCTCAACCGGAACTTCAACTGGTCTTGACAGCAAAGTGTATTAGCCCTTGTTAGATGCTCAATTTTATGGTAGAAGAATTTGCTTGATTCTGACTTTGACTAGAATCCGTTAGATGGTAAGGGAAGCTATTCATCTTGTTTAAATTTTTGACACCCGTAACTTTCTTCTGATCAATTTAAATGCCTACCGAAGCGCATATTCAACTACTGATGGGGCCAGGGGCTTGACTATTGGGAATAAAATTAATAACTTCTCTGCTTGATTTGTTGGATTTTAGATTGGTCTTTTACATTTCTTTTGCCACTTCAAATCAATCGATGAACTAAGTCTTTAGTTTGGTTTCAGGGGTTTCTAAAGCCTGCATTAACATTTTAATTGATATAAGCCCTGATAAGCCTCCAATGGAGATTGGTACTACACAAGGGTACTGTCATAAATCAAACCTGCAGCTTTCTGGTCACACTGGACCAACTTTACCGTTGCCTCAAGGCTGATGGACCTGCAAATATCTCACTTCAACCATCTGAGGCACCTTTTTTTCACCTCTCTTTGGTGGTTTGAAGCAACCTAAGGGAAAGTCTCTGCAGAATGTACAAACCCTGCTCTGTTTATCTGCTAGTTAGTTTAATAGGTTCTTCAGCAGTGCAGACTTAGTCTTGCTGTGCAGAATGTACATCATCCTATCAAGAATATTATGTGCATGAGGAAGTGGCATTCTTCTTCCAAGTAAATTAGTAGCATCCTATCAGCCACTGAGTTTTTGCAGCTTAGTCTTCTTTAGCCAACCTCTTCATTCTTATTTTTCTCGATGCAAACCGTTCCTCTCATATGCTTAAATACATTATTCCATGTGGATCATGAAGACGCATGTATTTACTTATGATTTTCAATTTGCAATAAGGGGAGAGGTCACAAATATTTTGCATGGTGAAGATTTCTTTCAATGTCTATATGGCTTTCAAATTTAACATACTCTAGTTTGTGTAAAACAGGATCCACTGCTTGTACAATTCGTTTTATGTGGTAGTTTACAAGTCAATAGATGCCATCTAATGTATTCATTTTCGTAATGCTTTATGCACATCTAAAGAAATGGTGGAACTAGGGCAAAAAACTTGAGCAGCCACTAAACTATTGGTCGGATGTTACATACACAGATATTCACCATGGGCATTTTTGTAATAAGCAGGCTTTGCATTCTTTCTGTAATTGTTTCTTGTTTGAATTCTTGTAACGACCTAACAGAAATAATAAGTATCATGCATGGTTAGGAAATTAGTTACGTACAAGTCACATGCATGGCACGAATATGGAAAGACAGTGGAGTAGTTATAACTAACTCCTTCCACGCCTCTCTACATGCATAAAAGGCCAGGAGCTGAAGAAGATAGGTAGTGAATGTTTTAGAATCATTTCATTCTTTCCAAAATCTCTCTCTTAATTCTGATTATCAATAAAATTTCTATCCTTCATCACCAAGGGGCGTTCTCCATTTTCACCCCTTCTGATAAAGGAAATTTGGTCTCTTCCTGTCTTCTGTATCAGTGGTATCAGAGTTGGTTCATCCCAGCTCGGTAGGAAAGTCCAGTGAGAATGGCAGAAGGCACTAGAGGTCAAGAGAACCGGAAGTTCGAAGAAAATATCAGGAACTTGTTGAAGGAACAGAGGGAACAGTTCGAATGGGAATTGGAGGCAATCAGAAACTTAGTGGTGGAAGTTTGCAGCCTAAAGAATCAAGGACCACAAGAATCCCCACACATTTCTGAAAGTAATCATCAAGGAAGTCGTAGGGGTAGTTATCAGGCACCAACTAGATTCTCTCGCATCGAGTTCCCCAAATTTGGAGGAGATGACTTCAAGAGCTGGTTGTACAAGTGCGATCAATTTTTTGAAATAGATGAAACACCATCAGAAACGAAGGTCAGGGTTGCTGCGATGCATTTGGAGGGAAAAGCTCTTCAATGGCATCAAGTTTTCATGAAGGGTAGGAATTCCAGGGATCCACCTTCATGGGAGGAATACGTGAGGGCATTAGGATCAAGGTTTGGAGACTGCCTTTATGACGATCCTATGGGTGATCTGAAGAGCTTAAAACAGAATCGGACTGTGAAGGAGTATCAGGAGTCATTTGAAGAACTACTGAATTGAGTGGAACTTCCGGAGCAATATGCAGTAAGTTGCTTCATAAGGGGGTTGAAGGAAGAAATTCAGTTGGCAGTAAGGATGTTCATGCCACGTGATCTACAACGCGCAGTTGGTCTAGCCAAAATTGAGGAGGCCAAAATTCTGAGTGCATGGAAACAAAGCAAGTACCTGGGACCATCGAAAGTGCCCACCTCCTATTCCCCAAATGCTGTCACTAGTATGAACTACTCCAGACAAGGTAGCTCGAACAACACCCCTATATTACCGAAACCAGGAGAACGGGGGGTGAGTAATCTTGAGGGCCAGAGGCGAAACTCCAGGTTCTTAAGCACTGCAGAAATGGATGAAAAAAGAGCCAAGGGACTATGTTATTGGTGCAATGAATGGTATAGGCCAGGCCACCAGTGCCAGAGTAGGCAACTCTACAGGATTGAGTGCATTGAGGAAGGGGTTGAAGAGGATGAATCAGGAGGCTTGGAGGATGATGATCAGGCGTTGTTGACAGAAGGCAATTTAGCTCAAATCTCCACAAATGCCATGTGCAGCTTGATGGTTCCTAATTTCAGGACTATGAGAATACATGGTCAAGCTGACAAGAGAACCTTCAGTATCCTTATAGATTGTGGGAGTTCCCACAACTTCTTACACCCCAACATGGTGAGGAAGTTTGGGCAGAGTATAAGGACCTGATAAATTTTTTTACATGTTTAATTATTTATTTTTTTAATATATAAATAAACAGGTAATATTTTAGAAATAGTATCACTTACACCATTAAATCTTGGTATTAGTTAGCATTTGTTTAAAGAAAATGTAGAAAACATTTGCTTGAATGCATGTAAATGCCTAATATGTGCAAGAAACAAAATTTTGCATTTTCCATTCTAGTGAGAAACTAAAAGGAACTACTAGTACTTATTAGAAATCAAAATTTCCTACGAATGGCATTAGCTCGTACGTGAAACCAAAAGAGGATTGAACTATCACATGTGTTTTTGGTTGCCATTAGAACCAATAATGGTATAACTTACTAGCACTTTCATTATGACTACTTATTATGTCTTCCATTAGGAATTAAAAATGCTATACCACTTACTAGCACTTTCATTATGACTACTTATTATGTCTTTCATTAGGAATTAAAAATGCTATATCACTTACTAGCACTTCCGATTGTTTCTATGTGGAGCCTAGAGAAACCAATTCAAATTATTCTTGTCTACCACTAGTAATTAGTTAGAGTTTCTTATGCTTCATTCCAGCCTATACGTCACCACAAAAACTCACAAAAACAATCTCTTCTTCTCCTCACTTGACCGAATCTTCTTCCTCCATTTGCCAAGGAAATTTCAACTTCATCTTCTTTCTTTTTGCTCCCTAAATCTTGCTCTAACCTAGCCTATTCTCTTGGATCATCCTCAAGCTTAGTAGGAGACCTGAAGGGGGAGAGATTCTTGGTGATTTAGAACCTGATTTCTTGTGAGGGAAGGTAATTCTCAAAACTCTTATTTTCCTTCCATCTTATGGTTAGTTTTTAGTTAGTTGTAACTAGTTAAGTTGGGTTGTTGATGGGTTCTATGAACCTTGACACCAGCTAGTGGACTTGAGGTGGCTTGATAGGTAGAGGCCTTGAGGATTTTGTGTGTTTATTTGCTTGTTTGTTACTTGCTTTGATGAGATATGGCATAGTTTGAGTTGGAAAAGTTGGAAAGAAAGCTAGAAGAAGGAAAGTGTATGTTGTCCGATTTTTTTGTCTTGTTGAAGCCTTCATGTTAATTTCTAATTTTTGATGTTATTTTGGTGCAATAATACTTGATACATGTTGGTGGTTATGCATATGAAATATCTCCTAAAAAAAAAAAAGCTTTCCCTGTGGTTGTGTTAAAATAGGGTTAAAGTGAGGTTGAATTCTCGAAATTTTCTGAGCAGGAAATCCCAACCAGTGTTTACATTTTTTGTTATAACTCTCTATCTGGGAGTTGAAATAGAGTGCCGTTTATGGCATCCGAAACTAGATTTTGAGAACTTTCCGTTGGTATAAAATGCGACCCCTAACTCGTTTCTTATGAGCCGTAGTGAACCGGCAAAAATGACTGAAATTCTTCACTGCTTGCATCCGAGAAATAGTCAAAGGTACAGTTTGTAGCTCAATTTTGTCTATCTTACAAAACGAATTTCATGATAGTTCCTTCTAGTGATTTTAGCATTTTGAATCTAGTTTTCAACGCCGCAAACCACACTAAATTTCGAGTTGCGTAGCTTTAGTTATGATCAGATTCTTAAACTCTGTCAAGTATGACAGAACTGGAATTTCGTAAAAACAGGTTCTAAAAATCAATTTTCTTTGAAATGTTGTATCTTGATGTAGAAAGGTCCAAATTAAGTTGCATTGGTTGCATTTGAAAATAGATCTGGAGTTTTAATTGTTGGTATAAATGTCATACTTAAGTGTATGGGTGGTTTGAATAAAGTCTTGTGTTTTTAAAAGAGAAAAATGAGTTTTTCCAAGTGAAAAAATGAGTTTCCAGATTTTCGAATTTCACTGACTAGTCTCAGTAAAATACTTATATCTTGGTGTAGAAAAATCCGATTGATATGTCGTCAGCGGAATTTGAAACTAGACTCATGGGCCTTTGTTCTGTAAAAGTTTCATGTTTTTCCTCCATGTGTACTACTGTCCATGACTCCTCAAAGTAGACTGTCCTGCTTGAATGTCCTGTTCCTTCAGGAAATGAATTTTTGATTTGGATCGAATATTGGGCCTACTTGTGATTTGAATATTTGAAAAGTGTCTTCTGGGATGTGGTAGTACTAAAAATCTATTTTCCAACGGTATAAACTTTCATAATTTTTTGACTTGTGAAACTTGATTTGCAAATTTTTAAAGTTACTGTTACTATTCATCTCAGTAGATTCCTGAAGCATAGAAACGGGCTTCTGGACTTTAAAAATCTCGAACTTCCAACCTCTTACCTTGATTATTTTTTTTTTCACTACCTTGATTTCAAATGTATTTTTATTGGACTTCTCTCACTAATGTATCTCTCATTTCCTCAAACTTTTACACTTTTAACAAGTTATCTTAATTAAAGCAGTCAAGACTTGTACTTGGGCGTTTAACTAGGAAATTTTGACAAGAAAATAATCTTCCATATTTTTCGATTTTCGTACCAAAACTCAGCGATCTGCTTAAACCTCAAATTGGAGAATCTTGGACTTGATTTGACTTGAATTAATGCATTTTTAGATATTTTCAAATGCTATCCTCGTGGATTAAGTTAGTAAGTGATAATTGTCTTCGATTTGAACGTATTATCTCTTAAGTTAGTAGTAGGAATACTACTAGATCTTGGTTGAATACCTAAGTGATTTGTAATTGTGCATGTCTCAGGTGATCAAGAGAATCATGAGGAGCTCGTTTGATCTTGCCTTGCTCTTGCTTTACATTCTTGATTTCGGTGAGTGTCAAGTGCATGTTCAATGCTAATATGATTGAAATGATATTATACAAGTGTTATATGATACGTGAACTTGCCAAGGCGAGGGTGTACTTTACCGCCCTCGTCCTCTTTCTCTTGTGAATGAATGATAATTGTCAAATGATTATATATGACTTGCACTTGTACTTGAAAATATTTTAACTCGTGAGCATTGAGCGGTAGAATGTATCACACCCTATTTGGGTGGGAGGTACCGTTCATCCCGACTCAGTGCTATGAACGAGTCTGAGTTGATTGGAGCGTGGTCTCATCGATAAATCATGCTGGCGGGGATGCCCCAACCCATTGGCTAACCTTGTAACTGGAGCCAGCAAGGGCTTGGTCGAGAAGCCTGGTAAACCTTGGAAAATGATATAGTTTGATCTTTTGAAATCTCGCTTGGCATACTCGAATAGTATAGCCACTATATGAATGTTTGGTTCCGGATCCAATTGGGTGTTATGTTGGATGGAGGGAGTAAGTGGAGCGCTACGGTCATGATACTACTTGAGTTGATGGAAAGTCAACCCAGATGGTTTGAATCGGTCGAGACGTGAAAATAGCTCTTGAGAGCTCTTGTATCATTCCATGTGTGTTTATTTCCTACTTGTACACTTATATGAAAGTTCATGTTAAAACTGTTTTCAACTATGCTACTTGCTTGCTTGTTTAATTTTCTTGGCCTCACTGAGCGTTAGCTCATCCCAAGTTTGTTTTCCTTAACAGGTCTTGGAAGTGAAAGTTGAGGAATTTAGACTAGCAACTTTTGATCGAAACTAGTAAAATCCTATGTATGATATTGGAGACTTCTGAAGTGTAAATTTTGTTATATTTGAGGACTTTGGTTTGTAATTATAAATGGTTGTTTTAGAAGTTGTGACTTGTATATTTGAAGAATTTCTTTAATTCTAAATCTATGGTTGACTTGTGGATTCCTTTTAAGCCTGAATAAGTGTGTGAGTCCTGACGAGAGTTGGACAGACGTCTCGCTGATACCCTAGGGTTTGCCTTAGGGAGAAGTGGGGGCGTCACAGTTGGTATCAGAGTCTAGGTTTGAATTAGTTTGGACAAACTTGGAGTTTTAATCTTATGAATAGTATTTGAGACAGTATGAAATATTAGAATCTAGTTTATTAAGTGTATTTGAATTTGTCTAAGTCTTAAATTGTAATTGTAGGTCATGAAAGGAAATAGTGGAAATTAGTCGTCTCCGAGGCGCCTTCCAGTAATTCGTTATCGACTGGGACCTAGGGACGCTCTTTGGCGATGGAATCCTATTCGTCGAACTAGACCTTCATGCGATTGTAGGAGGATTTCCTCATACCCTAACTATGTAGTACTATCGGTAATCAATGATCGGATGCAATTGTCAAATGCAAATAAGATAACTCAAGAGGATAATCGAGGGTTGAGGGCAACAGTGGATTCACAGACCGTTAGGATTCATGAGCTGGAGACGAATGTACTCGAAGAGTGAAATAGAGTAGAGGCCCTGCGTGAGCAGCTTCAAAAGGCTAATCGACGACTCGTTAAGGTAGTTCAAGAGATAAGGGACCGAACTGAGGGAATGATGGCTGAGTGGGTAACTTTGGTTGAACAAGTAGTTGATGGCAAAATACTTGATGAGGGACAGGAGAAAACAACTCCTAGCGCTGAAGACGAGGTTGAACCTACTGAAGTAGCCGAGACTTCTGACTCTGCCAATCACTAAACTAGTAGTTTTATCAAGGATAGTTGGGGTTTACTAGTACGGTTCACTTAAGCTAGTGACCTTTTGATCTTTTGATTTTGCTAAGAATTTAGAAGCGATGATTCTCGCCTTAAAACCTTTTGTATTTTGTTGCATGTAATCCCATATTTTGAGGTACTTAGATCCCCGTGTGCTGTAATTGACATTATTGACTAGTTTTATGAACTCTTGATTTGTAGCATGAATTTTAATTGTGTAAAGAATTATGATTTTATTTCAAGTGTTTTTATAACTTTCATATGTTTTAAAAATTTCTATGCTTAATTATTTTATTTCATTTTCTCTTTTAATTATGCATTTAGACTCTTGCTAAATGGATCGGCGAGAACGTGGGCGTGGGCGTCGGCAACCCCGCACTCCCGAGAGAGGTGAGGGATCAGTAATTGGTCCGAACCAAAGTCTTAGGACGGAGGGGAGTGACCAAGTGGCTATGGGTCTTAATCGCATAACTGATGTTCTTGAGCGTCTGGCTGAACGCCAAGGTCCTGAACCGGTCAACTAACCTAGAAACTAAGAGAGGGGTGAAAATAGAGCTCTAGAGCGCCTCCTGAATTTCGTCCCACCTAAATTTTACGGAGGACCTAATCCAGAAGCTACAAAAAATTGGTTTGAGAGGATGGTGGAGATTTTTGCCGCCCTGGATTATGCCGAGGAGAGGCAAGTGAATTTCGCCTATTTTCAGTTTGAGGGAATGGCACGCGTATGGTGAAACGTTATTAGGGCGAAATGGGAGAGAGAACAAACTCCCTGGGTTTGGGCAAACTTTGAAAGGGAGTTTAATGTCAAATTCCTTCCACCTATGATACAAGAAAAGAAGGAGGATGACTTTATTAGGTTGAAACAAGGGTTACTAAGTGTGGCTGAGTACGAGGAACGGTTCACTAAACTTTCCAAATTTGCCCCTGAACTAGTGGTCACGGAGCACAAAAGGATAAGGAGATTCATTCAAGGATTAAACGTAAAAATTCAAGAATCCCTAGTAGCCGCCCAGATCACCACTTTTGCAGATGCCTTGGATAAGGCACAAAGGGTAGAAAATACTAAATCTCAATCCAAAACCTTTCATGTTAGAAAGAGGGGTAACCCAAATAATATCTCTGGACAGTCCGAAAAACCTACCTTACCCTTTAAGATAGGAAGAGGGGTTGGAGCAATGAGGTTGCCCGGAAAGTTAGGAGGAGCTCCATCAAAGGGAGTCTCGCCAAAAGGAAATTAGAGTGGGCGAGATCAGCAAAAAGGGAGTTTTCAAACTGGTCAGACCATGACTCCTCGTGTGATTTGTGGATATTGTGGCAAGTCTAACCACACTGAGACCGAGTGCTGGAGAAAGTAAGAAAAGTGTCTCCTCTGCGGTAGTACAGAGCATTAGATCTCGAGTTGCCCTAATGCCTCAAAGGAAGGAAGAAATACTCAAGAATTTGGTAGGTCCGCTTCAAAGCAGTTGAGTGCCGGAAGGAGCCGACCTAAAGTACCAACTAGGATTTATGCTCTAGACAATCAGCAAATTCCAAATCCAACTGAAGTAGTGGAAGGTACGATCCCCGTTTTTCATCGTCTAACTAGGGTTTTAATTGATCCCGGAGCAACCCATTCATTCGTAGATCCTAACTTTATGAATGGTATAAATGCAAAGTGTAATTTCTTACCTTTTGATTTGGAAGTTAAGACTCCTACAGGGGACCAGTGCCTAATTATTAATAAGGTTTATAAAAATTGTGAGATTTGGGTTGGTGAGAGAAAATTATTGGTGGATTTAATGAACCTAACAATTAAGGGATATGATGTGATACTTGGGATGGATTAGTTAGCTCGATATCATATTCAATTGGATTATAAGATGAAATTAGTAGAATTGCGCATTCCAGTGGAAGCAACTTTGGAGTTAGATGTGAGGGGTAAACTAGTATCATCTGCTCTGATTTCAGGGATTCGAACTAGAAAATTGTTGAATAGTGGAGTTAAGGGATATCTAGCATTTCTTATAAATACACCTGGGAATAAGGTGAAGTTGGAAAATGTGCCAGTAGTGGAGAAATTTTCTGTTGTCTTTCCCAAAGAATTAGAGACATTGCTTCCAGAGAGAGGAATAGTGTTTAAGATTGATGTAGTTCCGGGGACAGCACCTATCTCTAAGACGCCTTACAGGATGGCTCCAGCGGAATTAAAAGAGTTGAAATTGCAGTCGTAAGATTTATTAGAAAGAAATTTTATTAGAGAAAGTGATTCACCGTGGGGAGTTCCGGTGCTCTTCGTTAAAAAGAAAGATGGAAGTTTGAGGTTATGCATAGACTATCGAAACTTGAACAATGTGACAATTAAGAACAAATATCATTTACCTCACATAGATGAGTTATTTGATCAGTTGCAAGGGGCCGTGGTATTTTCTAAATTGGATTTAAGACAGGACTATTACCAATTGAGGATCTTAGAAGCAAATGTGCCTAAAACCGCTTTCAATTCGAGATATGAGTATTTTGAATTTGCAGTTATACCTTTTGGATTAGCTAATGCACCAGCAGCATTTATGGACTTGATGCATCAGGTCTTTAAATCATTTTTAGATCAATTTGTGGTGGTATTCATTGATGACATATTGGTATATTCTAAATCTCGAGAAGATCATGAACGACACCTGAGGATAGTCTTGCAAACCCTGAGAGAGCATAAACTTTTTGCTAAATTCAATAAGTGCGAGTTTTGGTTGGAAGAAGTAGTCTTTCTAGGTCATATAATCTCTAATGAAGGGATTACTGTGGATCCAGCTAAGATAGAAGCTGTTTCTAAGTGGAAACAACCAGAAAATTCTACCAAAATCCGGAGTTTCTTAGGGTTAATGGGGTATTATCGCCGATTTATCAAGAACTTTTCTAAAATCGTGAAACCCCTAACCGAGTTGACTAAGAAACATGACAAGTTTATATGGGATTCTAAATGCGAGAAAGGGTTTCAAGAGCTGAAGAAGTGTTTGACCGAGGCACCTATATTAGTATTGCCGAATGGAGGTGATGGTTTCATGGTTTATACAGATGCTTCAAAGGATGGTTTAGGGTGTGTGTTAATGCAAAACAAAATAGTGATTGCGTATGCCTCCCGTAAATTGAAACCTCATGAGCAGAATTATCCGACCCATGACTTGGAGTTAGCGGCGATGGTATTTGTCTTGAAAAAGTGGAGACATTACCTATATGGGGTGACTTTCGAGGTTTTCACTGATCATAAGAGTTTTAAA